GCCCTGGTACGTAAGAAACACTGACATATTACGACCCCAACGACCCCCCCCCACCGCCCGCTAACCTTTTCTTTTTCAGAGACAGCCTGGATCAAGAAACGAAGGCAACGACACACACACACATACACACCCCCCATACCCTCCTTACCCCTTCCCGCCCGCGCTATCCTAAGGGCCACCTTAGCAAAGCGCATCCCAGGCTGCATAGCCGCACTACCCTACCCAACCATACCACACATAAACATGACACTACCCCCGGGGTTTACACAGACGAGCCGGCGAATCAAGAAGAGCGCCAGAAGAAAGGGCCCTAGCCGGCGGGGCCCAGCCAGGACAAAAGGAGGTCCCACAAAGCGCCTACACCGGCCGCAATTGCGGTCGGGGTAGACGACGGATGGGGCCCACCTACGAAGGCTGTCCAGGCCTACACGAGATGAGGCAGGATAAAGAGGGATAATCCCCCTCGATCCCAAATCATTGAGGCCAATTTCTAGCCATGGAATAATGGCGCGCGAAGAGCAGTTTCTATTCTAGACAATTGGAAAGCAGCTAATGAAATCTAGATCTAGAACGTAACTAGTGAAACTACTACTAACCTTAAAAAATATTGTGATCTTTGTTTATATATATATTATAGTAGTGGCTTACGAACATTTAATTTTTATATTAAATACCTATGTTTATGATTTTAGATTAATATAAATACATCTTGTATATAAATGGCTATATATATGAGGTGTTTCAGACTACAAAGTTTTAAATTTTTCAGCACTAGAACATCTGAAATACTACAGTTGTTAAATAAAGATGCAAGGTAACAGTGTAACAATTGTTATAATTTTTTAAGAACATTTTTAGAGTTAATTTGAATTGGCTTAATACATAATTATTATAAAAAGTAAAAGTTTCATAATTATAATATGCTTGTAATACCTATAATAAGTATGTTTTATATTCTAAAACATAATACATATTTTTTAAAGATAAAATGTAAAATAACGAATATGTATCTTTTACATTGCTTTTATTTCTCATTTATAAAATAATTAATTTATTATCACAATTAGGGTTGGCAGAGCTCTGATTTTTCGGCCATAGACTGTAGTTTTCAGTTGGAGATGCTAGTTTTTAAACCTTGTTTTTGTCAAATAGAATAAACAATGAATTTTTTTGTGTCGTAATTAAATTAATGAACTAAAATTAATTTTTTCACCATATTGTCAATTTTTTTGGACATTTTGATTATAAGTGGAAATGTATGACATTTTTCCAGTTAAACTGTATTAATAATTTGGCAACCGTAATTTTGGTATAGAAAAAAGTTAAATTTCAAATGGCCACGTCATTATAGATAGAATAAAATTTTACATGTCACTAACAAAAAATAAATATATTATAATTGTATATTTCCATTGAGACATTTTCTAAAAACAGTTGTTGATTAACTGAATAATGAAACATTTTATCTATTGAACAAGATATTTAATCGAAAAAATTATATAAATAAAAGTAAGATATGAATATCCTAATTTTCTACCATGCCCCAGTTATTGTCATAGTATTTAAATTTATAACTAAAATAAGAAATATATGAAAAGTGTACTGGACATGCTATACAGGATGAGTTTTTTTCGATATTTGGTGTTGGGATCTGGCGAAGTAGAAGAAATACAAAAAAGCTTAAATGAGGAAAGATGTGCAGTTTTATGATCCTTATTAAATGTTGCTTTTATTTTTTGAAAAAACGTCATGGCTGATTAATATATTTGGAAAAATACAAATTCGGCCAATTCCTTCAGATGCGTGTAGTTCGGTTGCTATTTAGTTACAGTGTTAATAAGATAGTATGATCAAATTGTTTCTGTACAGTTTAATTTTCAAGTTATAACATAAACTTCAAGTTTTTTAAATGTAAACCATAGTTAACTACGAGCTACAAAAAAATTGTTGTTTTTTATGCTTTCCAACGATATAATATTCGGTACTGTTATTTTGAAAAATGGGAGAACTGCAGCCATTTTTAACTTTTCAATTGCTCGGTTACATAGATGGCTGTGAAAACAATCGAAATGTTTCACAACGCTTTTAGTTACTGTAGCATTATTTGAGTTACTTTTCTTTCTTAAAAGTCGTTTCAATTGCCAAAGACAATGAATTTTTTAAACGAGGAAATCCGTGATATTATTGAGTGTTATATTCGTTCAGGAAGCTTTTGACAATATTGATACGCGTTCTGTGAGAAAAGTCTCAAATTCTGTTTCAAAAAGATGTATCTTGTGCATTAATAACAATGGTGGGCTTTTTCAACAATTTCGTTAATATCTTTAAAGTAAATAATGGTTTGTTCATAAAATTTGGATATTTTTTGTGTCTTTGTTAACTATTTCATTTACTTACCACAAATGATTTCCATCATTATAATTTAAATTCTTTACGAAAATAAATTAGTTATTATTATTGTTTTATTTAAAATACGCCAGTCGCACACAGCTTCGGTGCCCTGACACATACAGAGATGCTCACGCGATGCCAACTTCAATTGTTCTGATTTTATCTGTTGGATTGTGTATAATTTTCACAGTCATCTATGTTAACGAGCAACTGAAAAGTTACAAACTGCTGGAGTACTGCCATTTTTCAAAATAATAATACCAATTATATCGTTGGAAAGCATTAAAAAAACATTTTTTCTTGCTCATAGCTAACTATAGTTTACATTTAAAAAACTTGAAGTTTATGTTATAACTTGAAAACGAAAGTGCACAAGAACGAATAATTTGATCACACTGTCTTATTATCACTGCAAAAAACTAAAACTTTGTAATTTAAAATTTTTTGTAAAATAAATAGCAACAGAACTACACACATCTGAAAGAATTGGCGATTTCGGAATTTTCCAAATATCTAGTCAGCCATGACGTTTTTTTTTTAAATTAAAGTACATTTAATAAGGATCATAAAACTGCACATCTTTCCTCATTTAAGCTTTTTTGTATCTCTGCTACTTCAAACATCGAAAAAAACTCACCCTTTATGTGTACGATGTAAAATAAATAATATGGCGATATTAGGGCAGCTAAGGAAAATCAGTTAATTATTTTCTCTGGTCATATATGCAATATTTCAAACTCATTTAAGAAAGAAAAAATTCCTGCAGTGACATCATTAAAATAGTGGCAGGATTATCATAAGAAAAAGAGGTGAAAAAACAGTTAGAATTAAAAGAGGGAACCAAAAAAACAGAAGTAATAAAAGATGAATCATAAAAAATAGTTATAATAAATAATCGTAGCTCAATTTCATATTGGTCTTTGTCCAAAGTGATCAGTGTGTCCAAAGTGGCCACCTAGGAACGAGCATAAGAATCAATAATTTCTTTAAAGATTTGAAATGTTATTTGGATAGGGAAGTTGTAATTTTTATTTTAAGATATTTATTTACTAGCTTGTCTGTGAGTTTTTTCTTTGGCATATGTGATCATTTGATGATATTTTGAAATAGTTAATACTCTTGTGTGGAATATAGAGTATAAAGTAAACTAAATCAAAGCATTGGGCCACTCCTGTGACGATAATATGGATATCATGTTTATTAGGTGGGCGATAATATCAGGAAAGGTACATTAATAACTGTTAATTAGTAAATTTAACAAGATAAATACAACGAAAATTAAAAACATTCCCAAAATGAAAAGAAAGTGTAATTTGTTGATTTGTATAAATTACTCACAATATGTAGGAGTAACTTTAGTAGTTTCTTAAAGCTATCCTATCTTAAGTGGTCGATATTTGAGACAATTGCCTTACGTCAGCAATTGTTTTCCAAATATTTAAGAGAGCAATCAGAAAATGTTTCTACATCAATTCATAATAATTCGGTAAATATTAAGTTTTACTTGGATTACATTTATTCAAATTGGACATTAACTGTTAATTATTTAATAACAAAACATCTTTGTGTCAGATGTCCCAACGGTATTTATAATACAAGAAAAAGTGAAAAATAAACTTCTAAACTAAAATGTCTTAAGAATTTATTTTTACTTTAATGTTTTATGTACGTTAAAATTGAAAAAATATTTACTGAATAATACTGAATTATATTCAAATAATCGTTCCATATTCCACTTGTATCAATATTTAATAAATCATTGTGATCATAGTAGTAATATAATAATAATAATAATAATGATAATGATAATGGTAATAATAATAATATCGAAAATATTATAATATAAAACAAATTCCTTTTAGTTTAAAATTATTTACTGTCTTTTGTTGGCAGTCCATATTTTAACATAAATTAAATTTTCTTTAGGGTGCCATATGCTGTTTACAGAAGATGTAAATATAATATGTGGATCTGCCAGTATATACAACTAAATAGATATCATACTAGTTGCAGCTTATATAAGAGAAGAAAAACTGCCGAAGAAAGAGTAAGTTTGGTAGTTTTGCATGTTGCAGCTACAGTTTAAAATTAATGCATATAATATTTCAGAAATCTTCTAAGCTGATAGAATATTCTCCAAAAGCAAAATCTGAAATAGTAGACGTATGGAGAGGTATAACGCCATCAGAATTATCTGAAATATTAAATCAAAACTTGAATTATGTGTATGAAATATTTTTAAATCAAGTTCACCATCCACATACACCGATTGACGATATTAAGGTTCTTCAGCTAGCAATACGTAGAAGTGGTCGTCGTATGCGAATTATCGGTAATATATACTGTACCATAATATGAAATTTTATGTAATATATGATTTATATGGTATCATTAAAGCAAATCCTAAAGATATTACCAAAGAAGTTATAAAGAAGGATGCCTACCCTCGACCTCCTCCAAAGAAAGACGATTTAAAACCTCGACCACCGGTTGTTACTGTTATGGGTCATGTAGATCATGGCAAAACTACATTACTTGATTCTTTAAGACAGTCCAATGTTGTTAACCAAGAATTTGGAGGAATAACTCAGCACATTGGAGCATTTTCTGTTACATTAAAATCTGGAGCAAAAATAACATTTTTGGATACTCCTGGACATGCTGCTTTTACATCCATGAGGAAAAGAGGTGCTAATGTTACAGATATAGTAATTTTAGTAGTAGCAGCAGATGATGGTGTTATGGAGCAAACAGTAGAATCAGTTAGAATGGCTCGACAAGCTCAAGGTAACAAGACCAAATCTGTTTCTGTTTTATCTTTAACTTTTTGATCTTGTTAATTTTTCTTCTGTGTTTGTAGAATTGTCTGGATAGTTAAAATGACACATTCTGAACATGGTGGTTTTAACTGACCTACTCAAATTCAGTTTAAACCATCTTGGTCAAAATATATTGTTACATATGATATGATGTACGATGTACCTATGTAACAATTTATCTAATTTATTAAATACAAATGTAAATCTGTATTTATTAAATAAGTAAATCAAAACATGAAATATTAATTTTTTGTAACAATACTAATTTAAATACATACTTATACTGGGTGTCCCCAAATTAATGCAACAAAATTTGGTCACAGATTCTTAAGACAAATTTAGGGGACCAGATAAATCTGGAGCACGCTATATATTGTTATTCTTTTGCCAAAAAATACTGAGTAGTAGTAGATATAAAAGAATTTTATTTGATTGTAAATAGGTGTTTTCTATTCTGACAAATTTTTGCAGTTCCAATTTTGGTTGCAATCAATAAAATAGACTCACCAAAAGCAGATATTGAGAAAGCAGAAAAAATGTTACTAGAAATAGGTCTACAAGTTGAAAAACTTGGTGGTGATATTCAAGCAGTGCCCATATCTGCATTAAAGAAACAAAATCTGGATCAGTTAACTGAAGCATTAATATTACAAGCGGAACTATTAGAAATTGGCGGTGATCCTACAGGACCAGTTGAAGCAACTGTTATTGAAAGTCAAATCCATCCACACAGAGGAAAACTTTGCACTGTTATAGTACAGAGAGGTAAGTCTTTGAATTTGTGCATAATATGTGTCAAATCTATAGGTATTTGTACTTAACAGCTCTGTATTTCGAACATTAGCATTTGTTTTTATTTACTTATAAAAATGATAAACAAGTAATATTAAAGCACTACAGTTCATTTAAAAATGCTCGAGAGTTGAATGACTTTTCAGTACAATGGATTCATCATTAGGTTACGGCATTCATGTTTTATTTTAGAAATGTTATGAATAATGTAAATATCGTCCCTGCAAATTTGCAAATGAGTGAAAGCAACAAAATGAAAATCAGGAGTCTCTTTTTGAATTAAACTCTTAGAGTAATGAAAGCATATACATATATTCACCTATTGGTACATAATTAGTAGTACTATGATATCCATCATACATAGCTTAAAACAGTCACTTGTAATGATTTTTCTTTATATTATTTTCCTGAGAAATTACTATAAGTTGCGCTTTTGGTGCTTTTGTGTGATCCACGACAATATGGATTTTTGTATTAATTCCAGCACCAATTCACAGTTAACAGTCATAGAAACATTTGCTTCATATGCGTTAATACACCCCCTGCAATATAACCAATTCAACTGTTCTGTTATTATTAATAAAAATATGTATAAAGTATATTCAATACCTACCAGTGCCGGATTAACCGTGAGGCGCATGAGGCGCGCGCATCAGGGCCCGGTGGCCTTAAGGGCCCGCTCGCACCCGACCACCGTTCAGTTAAGAAATTTTATTCTTTTTAAGTAATATCTATAGAAACAAGTTTTTCAGTATCCTTCACAAAAAAAAGTGTGTACTTTTCATACGAAATATTATGTTCGTAGTATTTTTGCCTCCTGATCACGAATCCGGTGTCAGAATTGAGCTATCACATCACAGGAATTTCCTAACCTCAAGAAACAGGTCTAAAATAGCAAAAATTCACGAAAAAGTGCTAGGAAAAAAAAATTTTTTTTCTATATTCAAATGTTCATTTATATGGTTAAAAGACCGCCGAACGTGAATCCGCGGTCAAAATTGATGGTTCCTTTCCAAGATGGTCGACCAAATTTTCAAAAAATAACCCATTCGCGTTAAATTTGGTATACAGGGATTTTCGGAGTCGCTGATCACAGATCCGAGGTCAGAATTGCGAAATTCATTTTGTAATATTTTTGTTTACTTTATAACCTGAGTACCCAATCATGTTTTAACCTTCTTACAGTACATAGGTAGTTGATTAAATTTTTAAAAACGAATTTTGCAAATCCGATCTCGGATTCGTGATCAGCGACCCCGAAAACCCTTGTATACCAAATTTAACGCGAATGGGTTATTTTTTGAAACCTACCTTAATTGACCCGTTTTTTTAGGTTAGAAAAAGAACCAACAATTCTGACTACGGATTCACGTTCGGCGGGGTCTTAACCATATAAATGAACATTTGAATATAGAAAAGAAAAATGTTTATATTTTTCCTAGCACCTTTTCGTGAATTTTTGCTATTTTGTACCTGTTTTTTGAGGTTAGGATATTCCTGTGATGTGATAGCTCAATTCTGACACCCGATTCGTGATCAAGAGGCAAAAATACTATGGATAACATACGTCGCATGAACACAGCCCCATAAAAAAAAAGTGGCAGGTCCGAAAGACAAGACCATGGTATCCATATGGTTTTAGGGTCGCTGAATCCGAATCCGATGTCTGTTTGACATGATTAGCTCTGGTTTAAGGTTAATTCAAGGTCAAATATAGAAAATCAATTGTCAACAAACTAAACCTACGTATCTATACGTTTTTGGGGTCGCCGAATCCAAATCCGGTGTCCGTTTGACGCGATTAGCTCTGGTTTAAGGTTAGTTCAAGGTCAAATGTAGAAAATCAATTGTCAACAAACTAAACCTATATATTTACACGTTTTTGGGGTCGCCGAATCCGAATCTGGTGTCCGTTTGACGCGATTAGCTCTGGCTTAAGGTCAGTTTAAGGTCAAATGTAGAAAATCAATCGTCAACAAACTAATCTACTAAACTATACGTTTTTGGGATCGCCGAATCCGAATCTGATATCCGTTTGACACAATCAGATCTGGGTTGAGGTTAATTCAAGGTCAAATGTAGAGAATCAATTGAAAACAAAGTAAACTTACATAACTATACGTTTTTGGGGTCGTTGAATACGAATCTGATGTCCGTTTGAACCGATCAGGTCTATTAAATACTTTCTAATAGAAAAGTATCAATCGACATACGAAAGATGCTTATATAGATTTTTTGGTTTTAAGTGAAAAATTTGATTGGGTTTGAGCAGAGAGAAAGGTTTCACCAAGATATTAAAGAAGGAGGAAATTTGGGTGGCAATAAAACTATCACTGATATTGCTAGTTATACTAGTGATGACGAATATATTCCATATCACATTGTGAAAAAGACAGGAACAATAGCACAAAAAAAAAAGTAAATGGTGTTTGATATTTGGGCCTGGCAGATAATGGAGCAGAGTTCCTAATATCATGGCTAAAAAAAATACTAAACAAGCCGGAGAAGTAAAAGCTTTTTACTGTCAGTATAGAAATAAGGAATGTTTTTCTAACGATGAAGAATTTTCCTTGGGTTACTACAATAATATTGTTCGATGAATCACTTCAAACATGGATGTTATAAACCTAACGAGTAGAGTGGATTGTTCATTGATTCGTCAAAGTGAAGCAAGAAAGCTATTCTACTGCATAATACATATGTATATGCAGCCATATCATCTCAAATTACATTTTTTACATTCTCATTTGGATTATTTCCCAGAAAATTTGGTTGACTACAGTAAGGAGCGGGGAGAGAGTTTCAACAATATATTATGGAATGTCGGTACCAAGGTAGATCGGATATAAATATGTTAGCAGATCTTTTGACAACAAAACAGTTCGACACCACAATCGTGAGTAGCAGTTTCGATACCATAATAGCGGGATATAGTGATTTCATGTGATTCATCAAGGCAAAAAATCTGTTCTCAAGAATCTCAAATGACACGGACTGACTGTAAATTAATGTAGATGAAGCATTAACAGCACATGGATTTAAAGCTTACTTAATTAGGCTTATTAATACTAGAATTTTATCATGTCAAAACAATTAACTCCAAAGTCACGGGCTCAGAGTTACGTTTTCTTTCTTTAATCCTAGTTGTGTCTCAAATTTTAATACCCATAAATGCTTACTTTGATTGAGTTTAGAACTTGAGAGTATTTAGCATACCTGATCGGGTCAAATATATTCGGATTCAGCAACTCCAACATATGGATATATTGGTTTACTTTGTTGGCAATTGATTTTTTATATTTGACCTTAAACTGGCCTTAACCCAGAGCTAATCGGATCAAACAGACATCGGATTTGGTTTCAGCGACCCCAAAAACGTATAAATATATTGGTTTACTTTGTTGGCAATTGATTCTCTACATTTGACCTTGAACTAAACTTAAACCAGATCTGATCGAGTCAAACGGACACCGGTTTCGGATTCAGCGACCCCAAAAACGTATAGATACGTACGTGTAGTATGTTGGCAATTGATTTTCTATATTTGACCTTGAACTGACCTTAAATCAGAGCTAACTATGTTAAACGGACACCGGATTCGGTTTCAGCGACCCCAAAACCATATGAATAGAGTAGTTTTAAAATCTTATGAGCCGCGAAGTGCGCGAAAGGCGTGTATCTCTGCATAATTCTTCTAATAAGCACGTCGTGAAAACATTGACTCAAAATTAGACCACGTGCCTCATTACAACCAGAAATGAACTAAGGCGCTCGGGTATCAATAAAGTCAACTAGCGAACGTTCGTTATATATATTTTTATTGCTTAAATTAAAATAATAAAGAATAGGGCATTTTATTATGATATTTGTAATCGGATCAAAGACTTGTTTACGCTACGAGAGCTCGAGATAGACTGTGAATAATAGATGTAATGTTTTTAGGACATAGAATAATTTAGGCGACGGTCGGAATTATGTTTCTGCGCATATGAAGGCTCATAAGATTTTGAAACAACTCTACCATGGTCTTGTCTTTCGGACCTGCCACTTTTTTTTTTGTGGGATTGTGTAATCAATTATTTACAAAAGTAATAAAACATCTCTAGCTGTTATCCAAATATCAAATTTACCTTACTACCATAAGTAAATACATGAAGTTTTTCTTTTGTAAAAATCAGCATTTGATATGTAAAACATGAAATAAATGAATAAAATTAACACATCCTGCTTTTACCAATTACTGGGTGGAAAAATACAGATTACAAAGTACCTACATACAGAAACAAATGTTTTGTGTCGGCATAACTGCTTTAATTTGTTTTAAGAGTAGATATTAAATATAGACAACTGCAATAATTGTCCATATTTCACATTACAAAGAACATAAAATACACTCATTTTTATTCCAATGTCTTTTTAAAACAGATGGAAATAAATTATAAAATTTTACACAGCGTTGGCCAAAGAATAAGCAATGGCAATAAAATAGAAACAGAATGAACAAATTTTTAATGAGTAATTAATTTATGAATATGTATGATTTTTACATTTCTCAAAACCAATGATTATTTCTTTAGAAAATTGTGTTATCAGGTTAAGAAAACTCAGTAGGTAGTTTAATTTTTTCATGTTTCTCTGTTTTTCTCAGTCCTATCACTAAAGTCAGAGTGATGTAACATAAAGCAAAAGATGCAGAAATGGAAATTGGTTTAGTGATTATATTGATTCAACCTACCTAGGCAGTATATCTGGAATATCGAAATTTTTTGGTCAGAATTTGATGTACATCATATGTTGTAAAAAAGCGTTCTAATAGAATGCACAAAAATATACACATTTTAATAATTAAAAAGGCATAAACGCAGGCTGAAATACAGCATGCAATTTTTATTTTTGTAAATCGCATTCATGCCACAAAAGCAAAAACGATAAGGGAGTAGAATATTTATTATGTATATCAGGCTGTTGATTTTATACACAGAATTTTCAGAATTATAGAGAAGCTATGTTGCCTTATTTCTATGTATATTTTTGGAAGATTTTGGATATAACTATGGCCTAAAAAATAAAAACTGTTTGTTGGTGTAAAATAAAAGCTAAAATATTAATACAGAATTTTTAAGGAACTCTGAAGAAGGGAGATATCTTAGTTGCTGATGCAGTTATGGGTAGAGTGAGGGCATTAAAAGATGAAGAAGGCAAACCTTTACAAGAAGTTGCTCCAGGTTATCCTGCAGAAATTGAAGGATGGAAAGAATTGCCACCTGCGGGCGCACAAGTACTACAAGTAGAATCAGAAAAAAGAGCTAGAGAAGTATTAAAAGTTAGAGAAGGAATAAAAGATCAAGAGAAATTGGAAGAAGATGCTAAGGAAATAACTAAGAAAATGGAACAACACAATAGAGAATATAAAGAAAAGTTAGAAATGAAGAGAAGATTAGGTAGATATAAATTGAAAAGAGAAGGCCCACGTCAACCTGAAATTTCCAAAGGTAAGGGTTATTCAAATTAGGTAAATATTTTTAATTTGTATCTATAAATTTTAAACTGCCAGAAAAAATATAACTTCTTATGTATTCTTGGATCAACAATTATTAATAATATAATTCTAAGGTTAATTTATTTATTATAAAGAACATTTTATATCCGTCATTAGTAAATATCCGATAATGAATTAAAGCTTATTTAGTAAATTAAAAAATATTATATTAAAATATGCTTTTTGTATTTAATATTCATAGAATATCCTTTAAATTACTTTCTTACAATTTTTACATTTATATTACACAGAGTATCGAAAATTAGCGTGCAATAATTTGCCTGTGCAATCTATAACACAAAATAAGAGTTTTTGTGCTTGTAAACACAATCATGCTAAAGTGGTGAGCCTCTGAAAATTGTTTTTTCTCAGGTATCTTTGAAAACTTTTAAGACAAAGCAATGAAATTTGGAACTAAGTATGTTATGTTGCAAATAATCGTATAGTTAAAAAACAAATCCTAAATTTTAGGCTGGAGCATAATCAAATTTCCCATTTTTTGATAAAAATATTTGACATTTCTGTGTCTGAAAAGATGCTCTCACATCATTTTAATAAATTATACCATTTAAAAATCATGTTTACTGCTTAAAATATGAGAAATAGAATTTGTGTATGTTTTTCATCAGAAGGTATAAAAACTTTCAAAACTGATAGTTAAATAAAAGGAAGTACTTCTCTGTCTATCTTTATTTACATTGTTTCTCATATTTTTAGTTTTAGAATGCATTAATAAAATATTGCAGGCGGCTAATTTCGTTACATCCTGTATATTAGAGAATTTATTTTAGGTTTGAATTTTCTAAGTATCATGTAATATCATTATTTAAATCTGTGTTTGTCATTTATGCTGGGGCCACACTAACGCCTAATGTCGTTAATTATCGCACTATCTTGCATTAAACGTAGGCGTAACCACGGCTTAGCACGCTAATTTATTATCGTCATTAGTCATTATTAATGGCATTGACGTTAGGTGATAACACAAGTGGTGGTCTTTTTTTGTCACATTAAAGAGATTTGCCCATCATTAATCGCATTGATGTGGCTACACTAGAATTGTCTATTGCGACGCATTAGAGTTTCGAGCATGGTTTAATTTGGTCGCATAAAAGTGGAGTGGTCTACCGAAAAAATAATAGAGTTGTTAGAAGTTTTTCAAATGGAACCTTGTTTATGGGATGATCCTATACAAAAAACACACAAAAATCGTATAATATACCTGTAAAGTGGCTGTAAAGTGGCCTCAACCTCCATGATGAAATTATTTTATTAAATAACGCGTTATTTGTTGAGTGGACGTCAAATGCAAGTGCAGCTATTCCTTTACTGCGTAATTTAATCTATTATTTTTAAAGCAATAATCATCTCGAGCAGAGACGTTACACGTTAACGTTAGTGTGGACCCAGCATTACAAATGCAATAAACATATGAAACATATAATTGGCAAATAAGTTTATCACTAAGTAGAAAAACTGGCCTGTTTTTTATTACAACCAAATTCGTATGCTTTTTTCTAATCATAACCATAATTGACAATAAGCAATAAAAGGTCGATTCTCATTAGACAAACAAGGAACCGGATTGGCAACGGCAGGGCACATATTCGGCACGGGCCGAATTTTCAGAGACAATTTGCACTGCAACAGACATGCCACAGGTAGTATTTCCCTAGCTTAGTGAAAAAATGTTCACAACTTCCAGTTTTTTAATTCAGTCTGGATCTGTTATTGTTAAGAAATCATGTTTGTTTTAATATATCTGTATAGATAATACATTTTAATAAATATACCTACCTTGTTGCAATTTTTTGCCAATTTTTTCCATATCATGTTTTTGTAGACACTGAATATTTTTTGTGCGACAAATCGTAAATAACCTCATTTTCTCTGAGACATTCAATAAGAATTTCATCTTGTTCTGACGACAAAGTGGGCCTCTGCTGATGCTTCATGTTTTCTTGTCAGTACGAAAGTCAACTAAAAACCCTACGATTACAAGTGGACGGCCTGGAGAGTATTCACACATGTCGGAACATGCACGGCACATGCCCTACAAATATTCTTTCGGAAGAACGTCGCGTGCAAAGTCTGTCGCTTGCCGAGACACTGCACACACACAAAACCCATAAGATACAATGGTTAAGATATTTTGCCGAGCCGGTGCTTTGCCTGTGCCAACGACATGCCTTGCATGCAAGTGAGAATCGGCCTAAAAGGTTTTACATTTTATTTCATTAAGTTTATCTGCTTGTGGTAAAATTGTTTTTGTACACACCACTGATAAAGATTAAAGCAGTCACATCTTGGTAAAGAAGCATGGGACCCACTTTGTTTTTAAAGGTTTCTGGGCCTATTTAGAAAACTTTCATGATGAGAAAAATTTTAAGTAAAATTTGCAAAATAATAGATTACAATTTGGGTGGCCATCTCTGATATTTCGAAGTTTCGCAAATATTTATACAGGGTGATTTTGAAAGTGGGGTAGTAATTTTAGTATGCACCTACTTATTTCAAGAACAAGTGTTGTACAAAAAATAGAAGAATAAAATGTTATTTATAAAAAATCAGAAATAACTCACCTATTTTCACATTTTTAAATTATGTAATCCGGTCCTGTACACTCATAGCAAATGTTCAAAATTATTTCCGTTTTCCTGTAAACAAAACCTAGCCCGGCGGACCCATGATTCAGTGCAAGAAGTTAACAGCCCATCATGTTGGCGGATTGTTTCGGCAGCGTTTTCTATTCTTATTCGTAATTCTTCAACACTGGCGACTTCAGGGCCATCATACACTAACATTTTCATGTGTCCCCATAGGTAAAAATCACAAGGATTTAAGTCCGGAGCACGTGGAGGCCATAGAATTGGTCCATTACGTCCGACCCATCTGTCATTAAAAACATTGTTTAAATGATCACGTACTTCACGCCGAAAATGAGGCGGAGCGCCATCGTGTAAATACCACATATTTTGACGAACATGTAACGGAATTTCTTCAAGTAATTCGGGTAAATTATTCTGTAAGAAATGCAGATAATCTAAACCAGTTAGCCGATCCGGTAAAATGACAGGTCCAACAAGCTTTCCGTGTACAATTCCTGCCCAC